TCCTGTAAGGTTTCCTGTTCATAATTCTTTAAGAATTAAAAGTCTAATGGAGAGTAGTAAAATTCTTTCTATATAGTGTTTCCACATGAAATTCAGACAACCTCTCAGCTTGTAAAGGCGCAGGGTTTGTGTGCTTTGGATGCTTTGCAATGCAGAGGTACTGTGGCTTTACACCTTCACTGGGTTTTAGCGGTCGTTATAAACCTCTGTAGAGTGTCTGGGTCAAGCCTGTCTGCCCGCTCCCTTGCGAAGCGTTTGCTAGTCAAAGTCGTGGCACTGTACCAGTGAGTCTAACAGGTGGTTGCTGCTAATGTACATTGACTGTCTCTTTACTCTGGCCAGAAATGTTTCAGAATTGAACAATTCACAGCTGCTTTCCCAAGGTTTCCTACCTATAAACCTACTCTCCAAAAGTCCCTGACTCTTCCTTCACATGGTCTTCACTGGAAGCCCCTCTGTTTAGTTTGTTCCCCGTAGCTGGGATTAATTTGGCAACGAGTAGCACTGTTCTCACCTGGTGATTAAACTTATAGAAAAAGATGTGATTTCCTCAATACATTATAGAATGCTTTTTGGTTTGTGTGTTTGGTTTTTTTTTTTCCTTCCCTATCTGGAACAACAGCCTCTAAGATCTTCCTTCTTCAGAGAACAGGGCAAAAAATAACATCATCACCCTATGCTTTTCCCTAGTACCCTATTTGTCCTTTTACTGAAACACAGGAGGAGGAGTTGTCACACCACTTGCAGTGTTGCAAGGCCTTTCCTACCAAGAAAGGTAGGAATAGATAACAAAATCCCATGGTAGCAGGGCACAGAGCAGTATGAGATGTGTTTCATACACATTTAGTGTGAGATGCAGCGTGGGGAACAAGGAGAGCCATTCTGAAGGGAGAGCTGCAGCACGTTGAGGGAAAAGGGCTAGGTTGTCGTGTGGCTCTTCGTCTTCCACGTGCTTTCCCTCCAAGTGGACAGCAGAAGTAAGTCAACATTAAAAATCTGAAAATCTTTGGCTGTTAAAACTGGGGACTGCACCATGCACTGTCCTGTTTAGTGGGTAACCTTGGTAAAAAATAAGTTAGTAGTGAAAGGTGCACTATTCAAATTCTGTGGGGAATGAATGCCTTTGTATCAAGCTCAGCTATGCAGTTTGTGCTCTCCCCTGACTATCAGAAAGGGAAGGGTTCAGAAAGAGGCAAAAACAGTCTTCAAAACTGAAGATTGCGAGTAGAAGGATAATATTCTATATTCTTTTGCGTTAGCAGACTATTGTCATCTGCCTAATCCATTTAATAGAGGCAGAGACTGGATCAGTAGAACAGATTCAACCTCAGCCTATGGCTTTCAGGCATGATGGAAAGGCTAGTTGTTTTTTATGAAAAAAGTTTGCTGTCAGACCTGGTCAAGGTGTATGCTGCCCATCTGGCAGCATGTTGTGATCAATTGAGTTGAAGTCTAGTCTGTTTCTGAAGGTTAACTGTTTCCAAGATTTTCCTTGTAGAACCACTTTAGTCCACAAGTAGGGAGGGATTGGATGTAGTCCACTGCATCGCTTCCTACAACTCATGACGATCAGGTTTTTCATCATTCATGTCTTTGTGTTGTACAATAAGCATGTGAAACGGACCTGAAGGATGTCTTCATCTCCCAGGAAGAAACATCTAGTCCAGCCCTGTCATAGACATCATAACAGTATCACAGAATCATAGAATGGTTTGTTTGGAAGGGTCGTTAAAGACCATCCAGTTCCAACCTCCCTGCCATGGGCAGAGACACCTTCCACTAGAGCAGGTTGCTCAGAGCCCCATCCAACCTGGCCTTGAACACTTCCAGGGATGGGGCATCCACAGCTTCTCTGGGCAACCTGGGCCAGTGCCTCACCACCCTCACAGTGGAGAATTTCTTCCTAATATCTAATCTAAATCTTCCCTTGTCCAGTTTAAAGCAATTGCCCTGTGTCTTATCAGGAGTAGGTTTCAACCTTTTATGGAAAGCCTGTTATGGAAAAGGCTGATCCAAAGTTCAATGCTTTTGAGGCTTGTATGTGGACTCCTGTGTGCCTGTATCTGTGCATTTAACATATCTCTTGCACCTTCCTAATTCCTTTTCTCCACATTGGCTGAATAATGAAGGCTTGTTCAACTATAGTGGTATGACATGGGTGGTTCCTGAAAGCTTAATCCAAGAGCGAGCTTAGGTTCATAGGCCTGAAAGCTGCCATCTAGGACATGAGTTAGGTGCTGAAGTTCCATCTGCAACACCTGAGAGGAGGGAGTGATCCTGGGAGAACCTGGATGCAGAGCAATACACCATGCAATAGCATGGCTGAATCACAGCTTGGGAAAGGCACCCTCAAAGCTAAACAATGAGTGCCTAACCCTAACACATTTGTGCAATTCAGCATGAAAAACATCATCTACCATGAACAGCAACCAAGGTAGGAGGAGATCAAGGACGTAGAATTTCTCTGGCTTGTCTGTGAGAACGTGGGAACTTGAAATGTCTGTTGAATGGGAATGCAGGTCTCGCCTGTCTCACCTTTTCCCTTTCTTTCCCAACATATCCAAAGAGAAAGGTTTCCCCATCTGCCGGGTGGTGGGTGGATGGGTATGGAACACTGCTGGACCTCTTCCTGGCTTTCCAGGGCCAAAGGGAAAGATCTGGGATATCTCATTTGCTGCAGACAAGTTTACCTGAATCTACTCTGCAGGTCTGCAGCGCAAGCGAAGCTTAGTGACGCAACACCAGACCTGATGCTCATCCGCGTGGAACTAGACAGTGTCCCCTGAGCACTGGGAAAAGAGCAGCTAGTGTTTAGTCATCATTATTTAACCTTCATCCTGGTTTACAAATTTCAAAAGGACTGCATTTTAGATTAACGGAAAGTTAGCCTAAACTGATGAGTTTGTTGATGTTAACATTAAAAATGGGGAATGTGCTCTCTTGGAAAACGTGTGGGAGCAGTAAGCTTGCTGGACTCTGCAGTGTTAGCTCTGGACAGCAGAGTGCACTGCCCATACAGCAGGGAGGAAAGCATCTCCCAGGCTGCTGCAGAAGGGGGTCTTGGGATCCCAGTACCCTCCGGCTCGTTTTTATGAAGCTTAGAGCTGTATCTACCGAAGGACTAAGACTACATTTATTCAGCAATCATCACAGGCATGATGGCAGCTTTTGGGAAGCGTGCCACATGTATGCGCTAATCAGTGTGCGTACCCAGCCAGCCTGTGAAGACAGAGGCTGGACCAGGTGTGCAAACCCACTGGAGAATGCAGATGCGTGTGCTATTGGCCTGCATCGGCATCAGTGCGAATGCCCCCCCTTCACTGGTGTTGAACACCTACTCGTGCTGCAGGCACACCTTCAGTTACAGTGTAGGCATGTCCCAAGAGTGATTACAGGTGATCATGTGTCTGGTTTATCCTTGATCTCTAGAAAATAATTAAAGAAAAATGTTTTCTGTGGGCACAGAAAACAAAGTACCAGGCAAGTTGTCCTTTTTACTCATGTTAGAGCAGCCATCTTCTCCCATTTTGTAGAGTTAGCCTTTTCCATACAAGGGCAGGTGAGAGGAAAGGGAAGAACTAACAGGTTTCCAAGATGCTTGGGTCAATGCAGTTTTATAGACAAAATTCTGCATTAATGGAAAAAAAAAAAAAAGTATCCTGTTATGTTGCAAGTGGAAAAGGCCCTAAGTAGCAGATTGCGTGGCTCATTGAAGCCAGTGTTGGTACATCAGATGGTTGCTGTTGCACATTAGCAAGGAGATGTTCTGTGCTTACATTACTGTGTATGTATTTTTATTTGACTTTCCAGATTTGCTTTTTACATTCACATGGGAGGACTGGCAGTCACTTTATGAAATATTACAAGAAGCAGCCGTAATCAGGGCTGGAATAATTTTAGTGATCTGCAAGTCCTGGAGGAAACAAGAAGCTTTATTTTTGAGCCTTGGGTTGTTTTCTGGTAAGTTTTCATTTGTAGCCACTTCAGAGAGGCAATGAGTTACACTTACTAATCCTGTTAGCAGACCCTAGCACTTTCCAGTGTTGCGGTGCTGCTCTGAGTCCCACCGTCTGGTCTTTTCACTTCATGCAAGGTAGTTCTGGTGGTCACTGAAAGGGCTAGCTCCTGTGCCTGGTTGCACCGTTTAGAGAGCAGCCAGCGCAGCAGAGCCTTCGGGTGCTGTGGGAGACAGACACAGAGTGAAGTGAGGAGTGAGGCTGGAGCACACGGATGGATAGCTCTGGTTCTCCAAGGGCAGAAGAAGCTATAGGGTAAACCCTAACAGTTCGGAGGATTTAGAACCTTCAAAAGAATTTGGAATATGGCAGTGATTTGTGCCTTAGTGTTTGTTTTTAAAATTTTGGATCTATTTTCTTTCAGACTAGGGGCGATCCAGTTGAGAACCTGTTGAAATAATACCTGGTTCCAAAACTGCCTGCTACAGCCCAACTCCATCATGCCCTGCTCTACTGCTGGCATCTTCTCCAGAGCCATGCCACCTGTGTTTGGCTTGGCAGCTAGCTCTCCTTCTTCCCTTTCTTAGGGGCTCAAGCTTAGACCAGGAGACTGCAAACCCTGCCTGTTCCCTAGTTCTTGTCCCAGAACTTATAGTTCTAAGGTCTTGAAGGACAGGTTATACGTCACTTATGCCACAGAGCACGATGACCTCTCTAGGTGAGTACGCAGGGCCTGGTATTCTTACCAAATTCAGTTTACATGCTTCATCTTAGATCTGGATCAACAATCCAGACTGGTCCAGCAAGTACGTAGCCCTGGAGATTGGCTGAACAGCGACCTGGAAAGGCTGAGAAAGATACACAGTGTATTTGTGTAGTTTTTAAAGAATACATACACACTGCACATTAAGTGCTAATGTATTAAAGGACGAACTAAAGGTAACATTACACACTCTGTGTTCAAGGCATTTTGGATGCCAAAACCAGAGGTCCTAAATCCCTTAAAAACATCAAGCAATGGCTCTTTTTCTCCTGAACACTTACCCTTCCTCTCTGAGCTTGACCTGCACTGTCCTCTGCAGGGGCTGCCAGGTGGCATGTTGGTGGGAGAGCACACTGCCACCAAACAGTGCACGTACACCTGAGAAGAGAAAGTTCCACTTGATCCATATCAAATCCCACTTTGCAGAGCATCGTTTTGTCTTTTGTCCGCCTTTTACAGAAGTTACAGCTGATACTTAGGCTTGTCTGAACACTTGCATGTGGCACCTTCTAGCTGAACCTGCCTTGAACTTCAAATTTGGTGTTAAAGAAGCCCTCAGGCAGTTTGGTAACTGAGAGGCTGAGGCAGGAGAAGTTAAAACGTCACGAGCTGAAGTGAGGCTATGTATCAAAGCTAGACAGAAACTCAATCTAGTGCTAGATGCAGCTGCGCACTTAGGAAGCAGCACAAGCCAAAATTGCATCATGTTCTTTTCTAGCAAATTCACAAGTTGAACTGCTTATGAAAGGCCAAGTCAAAAAATTATGCGGTTACTTAAACTGCCCAGGCAGGGGTACTGCCATGGCTCATATCAGTACATATCAGAGTCCACTCAACTGGGCGCACTAGGAGCAGGGCACCCTCAGGTGACTCTCCTGGAGTTTTCTTTGTTCTTCTTAAACCTGTTAGAGGAGGACAGAACCTCGAACGTGTAAGACCAAACCCACATGCCTCTGCTTCCCTGCCCATTGGGCTGGCATCTGAGGAGATGGTTGACTGGCTGGGGCAGATGGGAGACAACAGAGCTGAACTTCATGTGGATATTATGGCATATAAGTTGGCTTTTCTGTTCTAGACATTTTGAGTTGAAGTGCTATGAATCTGATCCTATAAAAAGTCAGAAACACCACATAAAAATCATATTTACCTACCAAACTCTTGTGTTTACTCCAGCCAGTCCAATCTCAAGTCTCTGAAACTGTGTTGCAGAGCAGATTTGAGAAGAGAACTAAATTAAAGCTACCCACCAGTCAGGCTACTTGGGTTGAATGCTGGGTAGGTCTGAAGTCTGTGAGGTGTTTAAATCAGCTATTTTTAAAATGGTCTTAAGAAGTTCAGAGGATAGGCTTCATGAGTGGGAGGTGAGCCTTTCACTTAATCTTACCTGTTCTGGTTGATGTGCCAGGGTCCTTACTGCTAACCTTTTAAAATGAGAAGGGTGTCTCACCCTGGGGCTAACAGATACTGGATGGAACTCTGCAACATACTCACTGCCGTTAATCTCACACCTATTTGAGAGAACAGATCAACAGATCGAGAAGAAATTCGGGCTTTACTGATGAGCGCATTGGTCATTCAAGAACTACTTGCCCATCCACAGTGATGTTCCATCTTGGGGTGCTGTTGAAGTCTAGAGACCTGGTTACCCAGCAGTTTTCCAGGTATAACTCAGCATTGGGGCTCTCATCTTTCAGCTCCACCTCGAGGAACACAGACTCTGCAGGTTGCTTGAGTATTGCCATGTTGGGCTCATAGAATTCCGTGAAAGATTCATCTCGAGAAAACATCAGGGGATTTTATTGTTGTTTAATTTTATTTAAATTAAAACATGTTTGGAAATGTTCTGATTTTCTTAGGAGGAGAGTTACCTTTCGACACTCTTGAAACTACATTCAGGGCTTGTCTTATCCTTCTATGTACTGCAGAAAAAGAAATGTTAGTGAGGTTCTTTGGTAGAAAGCAGGGCATGTTTTAACAAGGGAACTTGCAACTGAAATAGTCACACAGGTTTAAAATGGAGGAAGAGGTTTGCCTACCTGCAATATTTGATCTTGGTACCATCGTACCGGAGCCAAAGGGAGGTGATGTGGATGGATCACTAGTGAAGACACCTAGCACTAGGGTCTCTTTTGCTCGATAGTAGCACAAGACTGTTAGTCTGTAATAGGAGAAAGGGTAATTTTTGTGTTCACTTTTACTTTCCAGCAGCTATACCAAAGTGAGCAGTGTCAGTGAGCAGTAGCTCCTACCTGTAGTCTGGATCTCTTGTGATTGCCGATATGCTCTGTCCTGGAAGAGTCTCTTTCTCATAAGAGATTTCATTTTCATAAATAATGTGATCACCTTCAAACTGTGCATATTGGAAGCTCATTAAAAATTGAATCTTCTTAGGAGCTGGGACAGGGGAACAAAACAGAAAATGCAGGAGAGACAGAGACTTCCAGCAGAAGTATCTGCTGCAGTCATAGGCTTACCCTTACTGAAGTGCCACAGGTAGTGACGTGGAACTTGAAGAAGGCATGTCCTTCATTATACTCTCTAGGTTTGCAAGAGCTATCCCTTAGTTTGGTTTTACTCATATCAATGGCAGGAACTGTCTTCATTTCGGCAGATATCATTATGGTACCATCTGGGTGGCATACTGAGAAAATCAGAGAGTTGGTTATAAACTCAAGGAAAGAATCACAGACCTTGATTGATCAGTTGTATAACTTACTTATAAATGCTGAAGAGTTAAAACTGCAGCTAACGGAGAACATCTGTAAGGTCTCCATAGTTCTCACTTTCCTTAGGGCAACATCAAACCTTGATTTAATTTTCTGAAAGGACACTTCCTGTGAAGGAGGTGATGGAAGAGGTCTCCAGTTAAGGCATGTGATCCATATGTACAAAGTTCTGCTCTTTAGCTTATGCCGCTTGAATATTAACAAGTGACAAGGGTTAAGTCAGTGTGAAGACTCAAGCCTGATGTAACATAGGGGCAAAAGTTTTCTTGAATGAATTAATTGGTCACTGTCACAGAGATAAGTTTTGGCTGATTATTGTAGAATAGTTCAGATGTTTATTACAGCATCAATTTTGCCCTGCCATATCTTAACATTTCTACAAAATGTTCCTTTAAAAGAGCTGCTTTCATAAAAGCTATATTGAAATATTTTTTCTGGCTGAGTGCAGATGGGACATTTTGCCTCATCGTACTAAAAATACTGAGGAGTTTATTTTTGAAGACTTGGTACGTATCTTTTAGAGACAACTTCACACTGCAGATTACATAATACACGGCATTACCAGAAGAGTCCATGTCTGATACCTCTCGTCCTACTTGCACTGACTTAGAGTCCTTCCCTCTGCAGGTTTTCCAATACATGTAATACCACAGTACTACAGACTGTGACTGTAGGACTGCGGCTGTATGAGTAAACAGTCCTACATCCTTTAAAGAAGGCATTGCGATACAGTTCATGTACCTCGTAGATAACTCCCACAGCAAACAGAGGTATTTGCAAGATCAGGTGAGTAGAATTGGTAGCTGCAAGGTACCCATTGGTAAGTGCAACCTGGCGGTTCAGGAGCTTGTTACCAAGATACAGATTCCAATACTGGTGCAAGCCAAAAGTAGGGATAGCTAGATACAGGTTTTCTTCATCACAGTAACCAACTGCTTCTGGTATTTCTGCAGAAAAAAGGTGAGATGAAGAGTCAGTAATGAAGGAAGGTTTGAGGGATGATATTTGGCCCAGGCGAGGATTTCTATCACGGGTAAATCTTGCACTGGTTCTGCAGCAGTACTGCTATGTGCATGCTGGCATCGTCTGCAGGGCTTTGGCTGTGCTGTGGGTCTAGCAGCTCACAACCGGTGGGATCGAGAATCCTCTTGCTTTAGCAGTGGCCTGCCAGCTTGCTTCCAGGACTATTCCCTGTTTCAGTAAGGCAAGCTGAGCTATGAATGTAAATATAATTTTTTAGTCAGCCTTCTTTGGATTGAACCCAGAACCATTTCAAAGATAAAATAGGACAGTGAGGAGACTCTGTCACCTTCATGGCATCTGAAATCTAAGAAGTTTGAGCAAATACTAATCAGACCTCCTGACTGTTTCAATAACCTGCTAAGTACAGCTCTTAGTGGATAATTGTCTCCTTACAGAAATGCTGTCTCTGGAGTTCACAGCAATTTATTTGAGTCAGCTGAGTTCTGTCCTGGACACAAAGGCAGAATTGCATTTGAGGACAAACTGAAACTCATAGCAATGTCTGAAAGTTTTGCCAGTAGATGTATGTTCAAGTTATGAAGCATCTTGTTCGCTGAGTTTGCAAGCCAACTTCTTCTACACACTAGTTTTTATTGCTCTCAGTGTCTCGAGGGCAGACTGTCTTGCCAGTATGCAGAAGAGCTGCCATCAGAAAAGCAGCAAGTTGGCTATGTTACCAATAATGAGCTATTGAAGGGTGGGGTTTTCCCAAAAGCTCTCATCCTCAGTCTAATGCCGTTCTCACTGACTTCAATGAAAATCTGATCCATGCTGTTGATGCAAACCAGTTAATATCAGGGGAAAGCTTACCAATATCAGCAATCACACACTCCACCTCTGCCGAATGATAATAGAGTGTCATCTCCAGACCCACGCTTACAGTGTAGTTAAGGAGGAGGGTATATTTTGTTTCATTTCTATTCACATACTGAAAGAGAGAGAAGTGTAAGGCTGCAGTAGCAATAGCTTCCAGCACAGACAAGCGTGTATATCCTAAGCAGCACTAAATAATTATTCCAACACCCTCTTCTCCCCTGCAAATAGTTCAGTCTCCAAAAACATCGCTTCACTTGGCCTAAAACCATTCAGAAATCTGGACTGGATTCAACAGCTCTTTCAGCCAAACATAAATGTGGAGAATGTACTGCCTGTTCAGAAAATGGAGGCAGAAGTGAACACAGTGGTGTTTCCTCTGTAGCTCACTGGTGAAAGAGCTCGTAGAGGGAGGTCCGGGTCAAAATGCTTATTCTTCTTTACTCAGAGGGTGGGCTGAACCCAGGAGAGTTAAGTAATCAGTAAAACAGAAGGTGTGAGGAGATGCTATGAAAGATCCCTCTCAATATCCTCATCTACTTTGCTAAAAGTGCTCCCAAAGCAAAACCTGCTGTTCAACCTGAAAGGAATACTTTGGAAAATTTTTGGCTTGCTTTGATCCTTAATGCAATTTAACTGTGGTTTGACTGCAGCCTGAAAACTGTTTGCAGGAGTCCTGATCCTGTGCATTAAACAATGTTGTTCCTTGTAACAGAAAAATAGCATTGCAGCTCTGCGTTATTTGGTTGAAACAGTGGTAGAGGACTACCAGTTATGAATCCTCCCAGTGAAATGAGAGGTTGAATTCCCTCTGAGTGTTTATATTTTTTACAAATATTTAGATTACAAATGGCCTGAAGCTTAACAAAATTACATTTAGAATACCCTGAGCATGCATGGTGCAAGGCCTGTGCCAGTGGTCAAATGGCTCTGCATAAACAGTAGATTCAGGAATTACTGGATGTTGGTAACTGGTGTTTGCAGGATTGCAATAATTGATTTATTTTTCCAAGGCACTCCTGTTTCAAGGGACAGCATTTAATAGAGGTTTGACAAACCTCTTCCTGCTG